CCAGTTTTATCATTCTGAAATAATTACAGCCTATTTACAGTTATGATGGGTGCAAAGCTAATCTAGAGGTACCCAAGATTAAACATTAAATGGCTGGTAACAAGCATGTCATGGGCACGTTAAAGGATTTCTCCCTGTTAGTCACTGCTAACAAAAGCCACAAAAACCTACTTTAATTCAATGCTGTAACACAAAACACTTCCAAGCTTTAATCCAATGTATAAACACTTTTCCCCCCTTTCAACAAACCTGTGCTTGATTTGTTGTACTGTAAATACAAGATGGGATGTGAACACAACTACCTTTCTGAATCAAAGCAGTGCCGTCAACTGAATCAAACTGGCAATATTATATTCTTTATTGATCCTGTGCCAATGACAACATTCTCCACATACAAACAGAATAACACACTGATGTAGTTATCACCATTGTAACATGAAAACAAACAGAGCACTGTCATCACAGTTGACACAATTTGGTCAGCCCATGTTAAAGGTCATACATCAACATGATTTTTTTTTTTTTTAATGAATGTTTTAAACACTCCATGAAGACATGGTTAAAGAACACTTATTAAACAGTCAGACTTGATCAGTCGATTAGCTTTGATTGGTTGTCAAAGTAAGGCGTTACTTTTCTGAGCTGGTTTGCCTGTGATAAACAGGTTACACTCTCCTGAATGAGGCAGGCTAGACATGAGGAGCACGCCCTCACCAAGCCTCACCCCTCTTCCCCTGACACACACACACACACACATCCACCTTCAAGACGAAAACTAATGTATGGAAAATTCTTACTGAATGAAAACAAATGCCGTTGCTGCCGAGCTAAAAAAAAACAACAACAAAAAAACCAAAAACAAACTAACCAACCTAAGATATCTACAGCAGCCTGTTACATGTCAATATTTTATGCTTTTCTTTGAAGATGTCTACTTGGAATGTGGGAAACGTACACTTTTCACCAGTTTGACATTTCAGAGGCAAAATAAGTCACTTAATTGAAAAAAAATTGGCAGATTATTAGATACTAAAATAATCCTAGTTGCAGGCCCTAGTACTAAGTATTGTTATCAAGGTGGAGCTAGCAGTATTTTTTTCCCCAAAGGGTCCCATCTGTTAAAGCAAAGCCATTCAAGATCCAGTTGTTTCTTTCTATGTTGCATTCAGGACCTTGAGCTGCAATTGTGTCACATACATATTAAATCAAATACCTTTTGTTACTGCACACAGTGTTCTTTTGAAATGAATCAAGTTCTTTTGGACCCAATGTTTTTGTTTTATTTAAAGGAGTTTTCACTGGACAGATGTGGTTAGCTAAATGTGTCAGATTAGGCCACAAATCAGAAGATAGAGGGACAGGGGACCTACAGTTGTAATGAAAATTATTCCACCCATTACGCTGCAGGACATTTATAATGTGAATCAAATCGGAATCATTGAAGCCATGATAAACAGTAAACGTTTAATAGTGCATATTTGAATGTTTGAGAACATAGTGTCAAGCTTAATAATGGCACCAAAGACAAATTTACTATTCTTCAAAAAGGCCTGTTGTCAAAATTATTCAACTCCAGAGTAAATATTTCATTAAGCAACCTTTGGTCTTTATGACCTCCATTAAACTTAGATTCTCTTACCCATCTGTCTGAATTTTAGCCCATTCCTCACTAATATCCTCTGGTTTTCATGTTGTCACTGCTTTGTTTACATCCGAGCAAAGACTTTTTTGTCAGGTTCAAACCTGGGCGTCAGGTGACCAAGAAAGAACATTCCAGGAACTATCTTTGAACCAAGCTTGGATCACCTTTGTCGTAAGCTCAGGATCAGTGTCTTACTGGAAAGTACAGTGATTACCAAGATGGAGTTTACACACTGAGGGCATCTTCTTCTTCAAAGTGAACTGGTATTTCAAAGAATCCATGATACCAGTCACATAGTCAAGTTTAGTAGTTCCTGCAGCAGCAAAATACTCCCACAAGAGGATGCACCCACCTCCACACTTGCCTGTTGGGATGGTGTTTCTCTTGTTATAGGGATTGCCCCCTATTTTTTTTTTTTTAAACAACATACTGCTAACCTATGAATCCACACGGTTCTAGTTTAGTCTCATCACTCCATAACACACTCCCAGAACTCAAAGGCCTATACAGATGTTTTCTTGCATATTCAAATCAATGTTGTGTGCTTGCTGGTCAGGGATGGAGTGCAGCAAGGTTTCTTGGAAATGAAGTTCTTGCCTGTTCAGTATTTATCTTATAGTTAGTGGTGACACTGTTCCTACCTTCATCAGGTCCCTCCTGCAAGTCTCTGGCAGTAATACAACTCAACTCTTGTTTTCGTAATTCCACTTGGAAGAGTTTGGCTTTTTTCTTCCATACCCATTAAACGTTTGCTGCTGTACCACGAGTTTTAAACTTGTGTATGATCTTCTCAACTTTTGAGACCTTTCTCTTAGTCATGTCCTTTCCCAGCTTAAACACCTGCATGAGCAGGATTTATACTGTATCTGCATCACAAGTGAAGCAAACTCAATGTTATTATAGATATGTTTCACAACAGTCTGGTAACCTCTCATATCAGTATGTGATGTGATTTAAGAAAAAAAAAAAAGAAAAAAGTAGTACGAGATAGGGGTTCAGTCATTTCGATGTGGCTGTATTTAGAAAGTTAGCATTTAAAATTTCCAATATCAGTTTGATGATGTCACTCAACTAATACTTGTGATTTATAAAAATTCTAGATCATCCAAGAACAATTATTATTGAAATCCTTGTGAACTTAGGAGTCAAAACTTTGATTGCAACTGTAAATATCCATTGCAATATTGAGAGGATTAAAGAAGAGTCCAACTGGGCAGGCAAATCAATGTTAGTTTTTTCTGCAGACAGTGGCTTTTATATTTACCCGTTTCTGCATTTTCAGGTGGAATAGCTCACATTAAATAGGCGTTAATAACAAATTATTTTGTCTAGGCAGGACAAACTTTTACATTTGACAGACTGTATATAAAAATTAACGATGCATCACCACTTCCTGCTACTAAAGTAAAGCGGTGGAGCCACGTTATCAGGCGGCCAATCAAAGCTATCAATAATCTGAAATAAATCCCTTATATATGATCAATTAACTTATAACACTGCCAGAAAAATTACCACTTGTGGAAACATAAGCATGATAATTCCCACCAAAAATGACAGAAGTGACCTCTGGGGAAAAAATTAGTTTGTCTCATGTCCATCCACTAACAGGGAGTTTGTGGGATTTATGACCCTTACTGCAACTATTCACTGGGGGAAATCAACATCTCGGGGCTACGCAAGCCGTCATGTTGTCCATCTACAGTCTGTCGTTTAACAAATCACAAGCACCTCATTCCTAAAGTCCCATTGAAAATAAAACAATAGTAGAGAAGAAGCAGAACAAAGCAATAACTTAAGCATTTCTAGTTACTGCCAAGCCTGAAAATGTATTTTTGGTGAAATATTTCTGCAGTTCAAACAAATGATAGAGTTAAATTTGTCAGTTTAATGAAGCGGTTTCCTCAATATGCCTTTAAAAAGGTGTTAATGTGAAAAATAAATCGGCATTATTTCACTCCTGCATTTGCTAAGACAAAAAAAAAAAAAATTTAAATTAAAATTGACATTTCAAAAAAGGAAAAATAATATAAATCAAACCTAAAGCCACAGAGCTCTGTTTCAACCACACTCCATATTATATCCATCATTAAAATTTGAGGTCCCTGCCATTACGTCTGAATCAAAACCCAACCGTTCTGTAGTAGTACTAGTATAAGAATACGTTTACTGCTCTATTTTATCTCTTCAAGTTTTAATATACACATTTTAATATCTATATACAGCAACAATAAACATCTTCATTAAGCAGCATCTCTCAGAGGGGTGATGGCCTTTTGTGCAATTTGTGGCCAAACTTTCTGCTCATCATTAAAAAAATAAAACATGACAGTTTCGACCTAGGTAGGATGACGTGCTTTGAATACATTTGGAGATAAGGCTGGTATTATGATATACTTGATCAACTGTCTCAAACACAAAATCATAGAAACTGTGTTTGAGGTTGGAGTCTTTTTAGTAGGGGGAAAAAAGTGACACCTCAAGCTTGATGGAAAAAAAAATATATATAGATGGATTTTAATTTGTTGGTCACATCACCCAGCCTTGACCTACAGACATAAAACATTTCTACTGTGTTATTGGTTAGGGGGTGACAGCAGTCCCTTTTGTTTTCATTATGTTGGTGAGGTAAAAATAGCACAGGGTGCAGACATTTAAATCAACTATCTGGCAAATACAGCTGAAGTTAGAAGTTTACATATATCTTAGCCAAATATATTTTAACTCAGTTTTTCACAACTCCTGACATTTAATCCTATAAACATTCTCCGTCTTAGGTCAGTTAGAATCACTGCTTTATTTTAAGGTGGTGAAATGTCAAAATAATAATAGAGAAAATGATTTATTTCATCTTGTATTTCTTTCATTGCATTCCAGATGGGTCGGAGGTTTATATACACTCTTACTATTTGGTAGCATTGCCTTTAAATTGTTTAACTTGGGTCAAATGTTTCAGGATGCTTTCCACAAGCTTCTTACAATGAGTTGCTGGACTTTTAGCCCATTCCTCCAGACAGAACTGGTGGAACTGAGTCAGGTCTGTAGGCCTCCTTGCTTCCACTGCCTTTTTCAGTTTTGCCCACAAATTTCTTATTAGATTGAGGACAGGTCTTTATGATGGTCACTCCAACACCTTGACTTTGTTGTCCTTAAGCCATTTTACCACAACTTTGTAAGTCTGTTTGGGGTCATTGTCCATTTGGAAGACCTTCTGTGACCAAGCTTTAACTTCGTGACTGATGTCTTGAGATGCTGCTTCAACATATCCACATAATCTTCCTTCCTCATGATGCCATATATTGTGTGAAGTGGCCCAGTCTCTCCTGCAGCAAAGCACCCCCACAACATGATGCTGCAGCATGATGCTGCCATCCCCATGCTTTATGGTTGGGATGGTGGTCTTCAGCTTGCAAGCCTCCCCCTTTTTTTATCCAGACATAACGATTGTCATTATGGCCAGTTAAATTTTTTTTCCCCATCAGACCAGAGGACATTTCTCCATAAAGTAAGATCTTTGTTTCCATGTGCAGCTACAAACCATAGTCTGCTCTTTTATGGCGGTCTTGGAGCAGAGGCTTCTTCCTTGCTGAGCAGCCTTTCAGGTTACGTAGATATAGGACTCACTTTAGTGTGGATACAGATACTTTGGTACCCGTTTCCTCCAGTGTCTTCACTATTGTTCTGGAGCTGATTTGTACGTTCATCTCTAAGAGACAGAACGCATCTCCTTCCTGAGTGATATGATGGCTCCGTTGTCCCATGATGTTTACACTTTCGTAGTAGTGTTTGTACAGATGAATGTGGTGCCTTCAAATGTTTGGAAATTGCTCTCAAGGATGAACCAGACTTGTGGGGGTCCACAATTTTTTCTGAGCTCTTGGCTGATTTCTTTTGATTTTTCCATGATGTCAAACAAGAAGGTACTAAGTTTGAAGGTAGGCCTTAAAATACATCCACAGCTGCACCTCCTATTGACTCAAATGATGTCAATTTGCCAATGAGAAGCTTCTAAAGCCATCACCTGATTTTCTAGAATTTTCCAAGTTGTTTAAAGGCACAGTCAACTGAGTGTTTGTAAACCTCTGACCCACTGGAATTGTGATATAGTGAATTATAAGTGAAATAATCTATAAACTGCTAGAAAAATTACTTGCATAAAGTACGTCCTACCTAACCAACTTGCCAAAATGAAAGTTTGTTACCATGACATCTGCGGAGTGATTTAAACAAACAAACAAAAAAATCAGTTTTAATGACCTAAGTGTATATAAACATCTGACTTATGCAGCTTTATGAGTAAATGGGCTTTCTCTCTTTATTTAACACCACCGAAACACCACCGGGTTTTCGACTGTTGGTTAAACAAAATATCATTTGAACACTTCACTTTGGACTGGTGGACATTTTTAAAAAACTATCATTAGTTACAGCCCTTGGTGCAACGTAGTTCTCTACTACACAAATATTGCCCTTTATGTGGAAGAAAAAACAAACAAACAAACAAAAACAGGATAATTTTACCTTTTGAGAGTTAGAAATGAATTAAAATTAGACTGATAGGTGATGGTATGAGAGGCTTAAAAGTCAAAACTTCACTCCTGACACCTGCAGTGAGCGGGGGTCACAAGTAGACTGCTTTATTTTAAGAGGTAATAAGCCTAAAAGGTAGGGGTAGTAAACTGATTGAGTCAGTTATAGTAAAGTTAAAAAAAATCATTTAGTCAAAGAAACAAACAAAGCAAGCAAAACTCTTAAGGTGTAAGAGCACCCAGATCTAACAAACGCCAACCAGCTTTAACGTGATAGTAACATCTGGAGGTTTTTAGGAAGCACCAGGTCAGCTATGAACATGTAAACTGACACAAAGAGCTGCAGTCAAACTATATACAAAACTGATTCTCACAAACATGCCTCGAATTACGGACAAAACCTGCTTTATATTTACTTTGTGTGTACCTTGTTAAAATGAAAACACATCTACCTCCCGATTTCTGTATAATAAAACTAAAAGCTGAAACAGATCAGATAAATGGATAATAGAGTGTCCCACTGTTTACATTAACAAACAGCTTCCGGGATTCAGTCAAACTCCCATTTTAACAGGAAACCTCACCATGAAAACAAAATACTTTAAAACGGGGCATTTACAGCTCTAATCCCTACATTTACATTTCGACACATTACCTGACAGCTCAGAATCTGACTGTCCCACCCCTCGATGTTAAATCAAGTGACTCTAAAGGGTTTGAACTTATCGATTTTACAGGCAGACCTTTTTTTTTTTTTTTTTTTTTTACTTAAGAGAATCATCAGCACTGTTGCTCAAAGACACGCTGGTGGGATCAAATCTGTGACTCGCAGAACACGGCTGACAGCCTGACTGCTACAGTGTCAGAAACAGAGGAGAGAAAAACAGGAGAAAAGCCACATTCCAACAATGAAGTTGTGGGTCACCTACAGAGTTCATTTTCACCTTTGTCTATCCATCCCTCCCTCATTAATGTTGGTGGTTGCTATTGGCGACCGCAGCTCCTCACCGAACCTCCCGCCCCGCTCCTACAAAGAGGTGAAGGACAAGTTCTGAGATTAATCAAATGTCCTCTGTGCCTATCAGCATAGAACCTAAACTCCAGATAAAGATACTGTGGTGCCAAATTGTGAGAGAAATTTCACACAGCTGTAGTTAGCAAGCAAGTCTCAAGGAATTTCGTTAGACAATTATTAGTAATGTATGTAGAAAGTGCATAGTTTTCCCTTCACTATACATTTCAACTGATTAAACCATTAACCACATTGTGGGACGATCACAAACGTCACTCATTCTCATATAACGTAGGGCCCATTTTTGTGAAATCAAACATCAACCTTTGGGGAAAAGGGGCAGAATTGCCATTTAACAAATGCCAGTGTGAGCATTCTTTCAGCCATCCTCTACGTACTGAACTGGTCATGAGAAGAGACGTGAACCTGGGTGCTACGTAGTTTCTTGGAGGAAACCCGGGAATGCGTTTCACTTAAATGCAAGCTACATTACAGCATCCTCTCAGCCTAAACACTGACGCCACAGTAAACAGCAGCAGAGATGGTGTGCTCACCTGTAGTTTTCTGATCAGAATGAGGCTGAGACTGGGTGGCAGGGAGGGGTGAGGTCACTCTGAGGTGAGGGGCATTTCTGGAGGGGGGGGCTTGACGGTGACAGGCTGAGACGTGCGGCGGGGCGGTGAAGGCTTGGGCTGAGCCTGCTGCTGCATCGTGTCGTAGTACGTCACGCCTCCGTAGGTCACCTGGGACTGACCCTAATTCGCAGAGACAGAATATTAACAAGTGCCACAAAATCTAATTTGACAGTGCCCTGTTGAGTTTTTATTTGTAAGCAAAGGTTTATAGTTGGTGCCTTTTCACCAAAAAGGACCATGTATCATTTCAGTATAGCGAATGAATTATCTTCCTCAGCTTTGGAAGAATTTAAAACATTTGTTGTTTCTTCCTCCCTGCCTGTGTTTTGCTACATTTCTTGCAATGTCAGCGCCGCCACCTGTCCATTAGTAGAATGATATGAAACCACTGAGACCAAAATGTATCATGTCCCCCAACAAGGATATAGTTTGTATTGATGAACCTGTATGTGAGAGACTGGACGGCATTAAAAGCACTGCTGCTGTCAACATTTTAAGTTGTTCGATGGTCCATAAACTACAGTTTCTGCAGAGTTCATTGACTTTTTAATTTAACACATGTTTTCATGATCATTCTGGCCAACATGTGAAAAATATCAGCAAGGATGATAAGACCTTGAATTACTTACAAAGTCCGTAAAGTTACTGAAGCAGCAGAAATGAATGGATGCATTAAGCAATTTAAAGATCAACGTATGAATTTTACTCAATATAGAAACATTCTGTAATATAAAACTGTGCAGAGACACTAATAAACATGAAGAGTGTGTACCTGTGGGTTTGGGTATATGGCAGGGTAGGGGAAGGTCACGACGCCTGGCGGAGGGTAGAAAGGAGGTGGCAGCAGTTGCTGTGGTTGCCCCGGTGACAGAGATACAGGTGGGCCTCCATAGAGGGCGGGGTTAGCGATTGGACCACCTGATTGGTGGGGATGGAGACCTGAGGATGAAACAAAGCGATGAAGGCCTCATAGGGAAACACAAAATTAAAAAAATTATTTGAACCAGAATTGGTTCACGTTATACCAAAAATAAAGTTCTTTAAAACAATATTAAACCATCTTTCAACAGAGCTAGAAAACAAACCCCACTGACCAGGGTGGGGGATGTGCATCTCAGGCTGGACCAGCATGCCTTGTGGTGGGATTGTGGTGGGGGCATCCCCGTGGGCATAGATTGGTCCCTGGTACGACACTAAGAGAAAGACAGGTTAGTCAAGTGAGCATGACACCACTGATCAAACGTTTCAGAATAAATTCTTAGCATCATGCTGCAAGTTACTGTAGAGTGGTGCCTGAATTGTAACTTGCAGCAAGTGATCAGAACATACTGTGTCTTCAGAAAGTACCAGAGTATGATGCTACCAGGACCATGTGCTACTGTAGGGATAGTATTAACCAGATTTTCAGACCTGGTAAAAGGTCATTTTATCACTGTATAAGAAAGTTTCTGGAGCCACTTTACAGCTCTTACTTAAAAAAACTACGTTATCTTTGATAGAATGTGTTTTATGTCATGTTATCATCTTACTGGGTTCATAGTAGTGTCCCTCCATCACTCCCAGGTGCATGGGCGCTGTTGGCTCAGGGACAGCTCTCTGACGCTGGGAGGAGTAGCGTTTGGCCCGACTGGAGCCAACACCCATTTCCTCCATGCTAGAGAACTGAGGGGGTCCGCCAGGGATGTGCATGGTGTTGGGTAGACCTGTGGAAAGAGATAATGATCAGTCTGAATAGTTTTACTGGGATACAGAGCTGACATTTGCTCTACAAAGTGTTTTACAGTCCTATTCATGTTACTCTTCAGTATGAGTGGAATGTCATCTCTGTATCCCAGTACAACCATTCAATCCGAACATACTCTCTCTAGGTGTGTGCATGTGTGTTGTTACTGTATTATATATGTTGTCACTTTATTATACTAATAACAGAGCAGAGGCATTTTCATTGTGACTGGTGTTGACTGAAGCAACAGTGGACCTGCACTACCAGTCAAAGGTTTGGACACACTTTCCAACTGAACTGAAAGGGAAAGTGTGTCCAAACTATTGACTGGCAGCGTGTATGACCAGCAAGTGTGCCAAGAGAAGCTGGAGGTTGTCTCCACTCACCTCTCATCTCAGAGTGGATGTATGATGTCGGGCTTGGGCTCCAGGTCTGTCCTCCTAGACTGATTCGTGCCATGTCCTGGTCCAGCTCAGCCAGCCCTCCACCTCCTCCTCCTTCTCCTGCCTGGCTCGGCCCATCTGTTCCTCCTGTCCAGCCGTTCCCTCCCATGCCACCAGTGGAGGTGGCATTCCCTCCAGTGGCAGACTCCTCCACAGACGGCTGTTTGCTACCCAAGTCTACGGCCCGAGAACGAGTCCTACGAGCCAGTGAATAAGATTTACGCTCCACCGGCCGCTCTGTGGGAGGAGAGGGTTCCCGATTGGTCACAGTTGCTGATGACTGAAGAGAGGGGTCAGAGGTGGAGGGAGAAGCAGCTAATCCAGACACTGATCTGTCAGTACTCCCCCGCTGTTCCTGCTGCTGTCGCCTCGGTGATGCAGACTGGTAACCACCCGGCTGAGATGATGCCGCTGTCGTTACAACACTTAAGCTTGAGTCCTGTTCCCCAGCACCTCCTTGGCTGACTGTAGTGTCCTCAATGACCACAGAGGGGCCCCCTCTTCCCCTACGCCCTCCCCTGCTACCCACACTCCTGTCTCCTGCGTGATCCGACTGAGCTTTAGGGCCCTGTCGTTCTCTAGGATACATCTGGGGTACATTTGATTCATTATTCCTGTAATGGGATTGAGGTGGGCCATTATTCTGGTGGGATGGTCTGCTGCGGGAAAGAGGCGGCCTGGAGGGGTTGCTGCTGCGCTGGGCAGAGGAGACAGGGTGAGAGGAGGGGGATATAGAGGATGGGTGGATGGATGAAGGTGGAGGAGCTCCTCCTCTATTCAGACCTCCTCCACTTTGCCAGGATCTGACTGGCCGCTCTCCTCCCTCCTTCCACCATTTGTCTCTGCTGGGAGAACCATTCTGTCTGCAGGGGAGACAGAAACACCAACTTTAAGATAAAACACAGGTGAAAGTGGCATTCACTGCTGAGATTTACAATTCATTATTAGCTAATGAAAGGCACATACCTGGGCCTGCGCTGCCTGTACGGCCGGTCTCCATGGCCACCACCGTTTCGGATGTCATATCCGTAGATGGCAATGAGCTCTTCACGGCTCTTTGGCGCCTGCTCATCCTCCCTGAACTTGTCATGCTCCCAGCGACCCTCGTCTTTCCACAACTTCCTGTTTCGACCTTTAGGTCTGAGAGAAGACAGACAAGGAGACATAATGTAGTTAAAAGACACATTCCACTCAAAACCTCGACTATTCTGCCATCTGTATTTTACTTATGGGGTCTGAAGTGGCATCAGTATTAATAATCAAATGCTAGCAACTGCAATATGTTGAACAAACACTATTTTAACAATCAAGACAGTCAAAATGCTATTTATGTTAAATGACAGCAAGAAGCTATGTCTTTCACTGCCAAAAGGAGAAATGCATCTTAAATCTTATAAAATGACAAAGTGGAAAATGAACACAACCTGTCTGTTTTTATTCATTACATTTTTCGTTATTAGCTGAATCAAAGCTACCTGATAGAAAACAACACTTCCATGTTGGCTTTCTGATCAAAATCCACCGAATTCTTACATAAAACACAGGTTATCCAGTTATGTTACAAACCTTAATCCCTCTTAATCAAACTCAATTTTAAAAAAGTGCATAAAAATACAGAATAGCAGAAACAATAATAAAACCACCGGCTGTCCGTACCTCTCCTCCTCCTGAGCATGCCCTCTGACATCGTGTTCGAAGAACAGACCCTTCCTGGGGATGTAGGCCGGGTTCTTCCTGTCCTCATCATCATCAAGCTGCTGGCCAGGCTTTCCTCCAGCCTTCGTCTCAGGATCATCTGTGGACTCCTGCATGTGTTTGCACCAATCAGAAGAGGAGAAAACATGATGATGATATTGCATTCTAATCTTTTTTTTATGTTGTCTGGCCATTTGTTCACAAACATGGTCTCATTGTTAAGAAGCGCTCTGTAATTTCCTCTAACAGCTAGACATGGCAAATTTAAGCAAACATCCCTCTAACAGGAAGAAACAGCGCATTTTTGGGGGACCCAGACTGGGCAATATGGCCAAATGCATATTTAAAAAATATGAGTTATTCTTCAGGGCTACAGACTGGCAGCATCACACACTTCAACTTAGTAGGCAGACATTCAATTTAATTAACATTATTAATCAACTCTGACTAAGGCAGACATTAATTCTTCTCTTCCAGCTGTTTGTTCTGTAGATACTACTGTAACTTTTACTTGGAAAATAACCTTTTTCACGATGGCAGACATTTTAGGCACTGCAAAAAACGTGAAAGAATCCCCTATTTTGCCCTGTCTTACTGAGGACTATATTCTTCAGCTGATTAATACACATTTACAACTCCAAAAACTGATAAGACTTATCGAATATCATGATCCCTCTTTCAGCTCCACTTTGCAAAGATTTTTCTTTTGCAGTGAAATATGAAGTCCAAGTTGTGGCAAAGGCTCACTGAGCCTCACCTGTCCATCACCACTCTGTCTCTCTCCGGCTAGATTTCCTTTTTGCTCAGCCTTGTTCTCCTCTTTACTGCACACTTCTCCCTGCCCCTCTGCTGCTGCCACATCCTCCTCTTCATCACCCCCCTGCTCCTCTCCCTGCGGCGGACCATCGGCAGCTGAGGGTTTGGGCTCGCTGGCTACTGCTGGAGCTTCTTCATCACTGTACTGCTCTGCCTCCTCTTCTTCTTCCACTCCCTGTAGGAAAACAAGGATTCAGCTCATCAGAAATTTCACCTGCTATATTTAGCATGTTATGTGGATTAAAAACACAAGACTATCTGGAGGTTCAACTAAGAAACAAGTTTACATAATACCTCTCTCGTGACAAAACTCAGTTTGAATTTCATGTAGCTGATGTATTTTACCTCTGAATGAGAGCCGTTTTCCTCTTGATCTGCACTGTCGTAATCAGACAGGACAGCTGTGAAAAAAAGTATTATCTGAGTATCATGTTCAGAGAATAAAAGCTGAGGCAACAACAGGCTTCACAGGGACTCACAGCTGACAACAAGAACAGAACAAATGTTTGACACAGAATATTTTGTGTTACAATCCTCACTTTGTTACATTGCCAGTACAATAAAAAGAAGTCTGTAATAATTGCCTCTTTGTTTACTTTCTCTGCTCTTGGTGGTAACTGTGTGCATTTTATAAAGTTGCTCCTTTAATTGAAGCTGTGTGCTAAATGTTGGTATAAACTGTCTTACCTTCTCCTACCCCATCTTCACTCTCCTGCAATGAGAAAGAGAAAAATGTTTATGATTTGCCACCAAAACACTGAAGTCCAAAAGCACAAAAACTGCATCCAAAACAATGGACAAACATTTCATTCATAATGTACTGGTGGCCAGTGACTAATTACTTTATCACTATTACTCCAATAGTGCAATCTCAGATCATTAGGGCTGGATCCAGTAATTCAACTATTCGGATATTTGTTCTTTGGGTAGATAATCAGTAAGGGAGGGACGATACAGCTTTTTCTCGATACAATTTGATGCACGATATGGTCTGTACAGTTTGATTCAAGCACAACACAAAAATTTCATGACAACAATGTAAGACTAGCTGCGATAGACTTTTTCTTTATTCTTCTTTTCCAACATTGGTTTGATTATGTAAAGAACAACGAGATATACTGACTTACTTTCTGTTAGGCTAGCTACAAAAAATATGAAGTCACTGGTGTATGGAAACCATATGACATATAGTAGTCCAGTACAACACCACCTTTAGCTATGACCTTAATAATAAACAGAATTTATCTTATACATTTATGACAATTTCACCAAAAAACTGAGACACTGAGCTTCACAAACACAGATGTTATGGTGGAAGTGTTGCACTGAATTGCATACAATTATGTGTATGTATAGTGTATCCATACCTGTGCTACAACACAGCCATTACAAACTTCAATAGGAACTGTGTGCTTAGTAGGACTGACATTCTTTTGTTTTTATTACCTGTTGCACCGGTTCATAATCGGAGTAGTACAACTATTGAATTTGATTTTTAGTTGGAGGTTTGTAAAACAAGAGAGAGAGAGGGACAGAAAGATTGAAGTGTAAAACTAATACTTTTTATTACAATTGAATTTTTCATTAAAGAAAAGTTACAAAAATGTTTTTGTATGCTGTCAATTACAGTTGTTAGAAATAAAGAAAATCTGAACTGGCTAAAATCGGGACTGGCAGGTCAGACCTAAATAAAAAAAACTAATTGGAATCAGTCAAGAAAACTGAAATCGGTGCATATCTAAAACTGATCTATATTGTGAAATTTTTATATGACTATATATTGAATTTCAATACACTGTTCCATCCCTAGTAATCAGTTTTCAATTCTGGTTTTCAAATACAGCAGCAAATTTCAATGCAGTCTGAGTCAACGATGAAGAGGAGAAAGAACATGATGAAGACAACCAGATATTCTAATTCCAAGTTGTTACTTTTTTGCCTGAAAAATATTAAAACCTAATGAAGTAGCAGAAGCTCAATCCTAGGATGAAACATTCTACAAAGTGCAACACCAAAAGACGACACTTCAATAATCGTCAGTTACTTCGCTCTCAGACACATTTTTCCAAGCTAAGTGTTGTGGTTTATCCAACAGAAGACCAGCAAGTTGTGAAGAAACTTTGTTGACTACTACCCTTAGAGTAAATATTTTCATAGGAGGAAGCTTCAGATGGCTGCACAGACCCTTACAGGAGCCTAATAAGCATAAATGTCAAACCATGTTTACTGAAGAAAGTACCAATCCAGAGATTATTATTATTAATAATAATTTAGAACCATAACAAACCATGTGGTTTATGTTGAAATCAATCCCAAACTGAAATTCAAATTAAAAAGCTACACTGTGGAGTTCTCTTGTAAACAGTGCACACATTCACATAATCCTTAAGGTTTTCGTGTCTCCTTGCTCATTAACATGACCATCCTCACAATACGAGAAAATATACTATGCTAAAACCTTTGGTCATATTGCCCAGCCCTATGTTAAACAGCCCATGGCATGCTCATTTACAGCCATTTAATGTTTAATCATGGGTACCTTTAGATTAGCATTGACTGGATGTCATATGAAAGTGCAACTGCCTGCAGATTATGACCATTCAAGGAAATCCTTAAATATTACCTAGATCTATTTTGTTAGGGAAAAAAAGCCTCGCCAGCGAGAGCTTGCCTAAACTGATTAAGAAGTACTAGGAAAATATGCACACCTCATTTTTTGAGAGTTAGGTCATGTCAAAGATGACAATTTACTGTAGATATGTAAAAAAAAAAAAAAAGAAAAAAGTAAATGCTCTTTGAGCATTCTTGTAAGATGACTTGAAACCAATTAGACCTCCAACAATTAGCCTATATACAAATTTATTACTCAACAGAAAATTAATCTGCATTCGCCCAGGCTCCATGGGAATGGGAACACTAATGCTCTTCTTCGTCAAATAGGAGGTGAAAATTATGTGACATGTCTTGGGGTTTGCTGGTCTTACAAATAAAGACATCTCTTTAGACTCTGAACTTAGAGAAAATGATGGGCAGATTAATCGATAATGAAAATAATCGTTAGTTGCAAACCTAGGAACAATCTTCGACACATAGGTCAACAGGCGTTACAGATACTCTAACGGGGTGACAAAATAATAAGTGCACTTCTGACATTAGAAATTAAACATTTGACATAACCTAACATACAAAAGTATATATTTAAAACTCAAACCAAAAATCAACGCAGGCAGCTGATCTAGCGTTAACCATTGAGCTAACTTAACTAACGTAGATTCCTTTCAAGCTAACGCCGCCTACTCAAAGAACATAAAGAGTCAAACGGGTCCGCACCTAATTCGTTTAGCATTACTGACAATTTCCCAAAGGTAACACTAAGCCAAAGCAATAGCTCGGTCCCCGGAAAGAGTTTTGCTAGAAGCGGCTTCTGTCATTGCCCATAGCCAGGAGACGGAGCCATCAGTTCCGAGAGCTAACGTTAGCTCTTGGAGTTAGCTACTCACACACTCGGACTCCGTGTCCTTCTTTGCTTCAGTCCGGACCACTGTGGCCTCCGCCGGGTCAGGGTGTCTCTCCCAGGTCTTATTCACCGGGGATCCCGACCTCCCGCTGTCCGAACCCGAACCAGAACCTGATTCGTCGTCGTCTTCGCTGTCCCGGAGCCTCCTCCTTCGCCGCCGGTCCGCCATCTTAGGACGTGAATAGTGAGAACCGGAACAAGGCAAGGAGTTATGGGTAGTGGATTTCTTCTTTTTTAGTAAGGCGCTATACTCTAGGCGCTGCAAAATCGTATTGCTGCCCTCCTCAGTTTGAACATTGCCATTAAAGATATCCATCCGTTGTGTTCTATACCAAATTTTATACAGTCCAATATTTTATACCCGTTGGTACAGAACAGAATGTCCATTAGTTTCTTTATACCTAGTTTTCTGGTCTTTTCTCCAATGGATTTGACAAAACTACATTTCTTATTACTATTTTTTTTTTTTTTTACCGGAGAATTCTTAGTGTTGGACAAAGAATCTGATCTATATGCTTGAACTTTGCCTCCCATTCACAGATTCACACATCAGTGACAGTGTCTCACCCAAAGACAGATTGACATATAGACCAGGGGGATTGGGAATCAGTCTGCCACCCCTGTGCTTAGGGGACAACTGACTCTACTTCCTGACCCACATTGCTTCTTGGGAAAAAAAAAAGTGCACACTGCCACCTACTGCAACGGTATGTGCAAAGTCATGATTATATCAACTGATTTTGATGTCTCCATGTCATTAACTGTGTGTCTCCTCTCTCCTCTAGTGTGTCCTCTCTCTCTCCCTGTACCTTTCTACAGGTAACCTGGCTTTGGAGCTCTATGTTTGTGATGAGCAGGCAACGGCCACATCAACCTGCCCAGTGTTTGATTGTTTGTTGTTATGTTTGTTGTGTCCTGTTGCTTTTCTGTTCTTTTGTCTCTCCTCTATCCACTCACCCCAACTGGTTGAGGCAGAAGGCTGCCCATCAAGAGCCGGGGTCTGTCGGATGTTTCTTCTGTTAAAGGGAGTTTTTCCTCCCCACTGTTGCCAAGTGCTTGTTCAAAGGGGATTTGCTGGGTTTTTCTTCTATAATAATAATAATAATAGTATGGTCTAGACCTTACATTGTAAAGTGACTTAAGACGACTTTTGTTGTGAGTTGGCGCTATACAAATAAAATTGAATTGGATTGAATTGAAAATATAACCCATTGACCGCCTTCTGAGTGCCCTGGGTCCTTGATGTACACCCAGTAGCAATTTTAAAACACCATTCTTGTCCTGCCCCATGCATTATTTCATTTGTGTCTTCATCTCCTAATAATATTTAGCCCTGCATCAGTGCATAATAATATGCTCAACATTTTCCAAAATATTACACCACTGACACCATTGATTTGTGGGACGTTTTTCCTGTTAGTCATGTATATAGCGCCTCTTCTCTCCAACTATGGGCATTTTGTTGTCATTGTGAAATTTGAGTGTAAAATTCATTTCTTCATGTGTTTTCACTCACAAAATCTCACATTGCATTGGAGTTTCCCAACTGGCAAATGGCAAGGCAACTCATGAGTGCATTTTCTCCTGTGACTGCCAGAGAGCAGTATTTCATTAAACCACATAACACTGAGTTTCAGTGTCACCTTCAACTCAAATGTGAAAGTGTTTTCTTTTAATGAAATACCATTATCAGCCAGTGATAAACCCTTTTCTGTTTAAATGTCTGCCCACAGAAACACATAAGGAGCCAAAGTGAAATGATTGATTTAATTTGTGCCCTGCTGCAAATAAATAAAGACCCTCTTGTTGCTGTATGTGTTTGTACTTTTTATTGTTTTGTCTTTACTTTTAAAAGTAAAGATATTTTAAACAGTTTTAACATGTACTTGCAAACAAAATAAACAATATGTCCTTTTGTTCAGCCATTTGCAGTTGTACATGGAAATGCTTTTCTGCATAGTGAAGGGCACTCAAAGATCTTTACACTGCTTGCCCACTCACCCATTCACACATACACACAAATGTGCACACACTCACACCTCAGGTACACCCCTGGAGTCCATCCCTGTAGAAAAGTCTCCACTTGGTTGACTCATTTCAGCCTTTTGTAAGGTTATTTTTTAGTTAGATAGATATTCAGAGATTTGTTGTCTAGGAATGTTAGTGCAGCCAGGATGTCTTCCTCAGGCTGTTAAATGCAAGGTTAGTTAAAAGCAGAGAAAGGCGGCAGTCAGGGACGAATGTTATTATGACGGTAAAAGTAACCATAATATTTGTCTTAATGTGTAATGTTATGTCAAATTGTTTTAGATACACACCACGAAAACAACAGCCACACACATTATTTTCTTCATGTTTGGTCTACTGCTCGGCTCAGCTGCCAAGCTGGCATATCAGGGTACGTCACGGTTCGACAGCCCAGAAAGAATTAATATTGTATAGCAATGCTTGGTTCGGGGTCTTGCTGCTTCCGGGCTGCTTTTGGCAGCCTGGGGGTTGGAAGATCTCTGGACT